GGCGGCTGAGGTCGGAGACCCGCCTAGGGATGGAGGAGGTGGACGCCCGGAGGAAGGGCAGCAGGCAGGGTGCCCCAGGAGCCCGAGGAGTCCAGGGAACTGTAGTGGATTGTGTATGTGTATGTGGTGTATGTGTGTGTGCTTACGTGAAATGCTTTTGCACGAAAACTGTGAAGAAGTAAGGAGTGTACTGTAAATGGGGCTGGGGTCGCTAAAGGAAATCCCTATCTGACGTGCCAGGGTGCCTGAGGGGTTGCTCGTGCTTATGTCGAAGAAGTTGGGAAGAGATCGGGTTGTTGTTTGGTCCTGAGACTTCGTGACTTGATTCTCCCTGGGATGTGCTAGAGTCCCTAAAGCACTTAAAATCGTGCAGGGCCTTTGATCTTTCCCAAGTTCTTGCTTCCTCTTCAACTGCTTTTTGGTGGCGATCCGGAGGGTTTGTTAAGTAGCGCGTCTAATTAGGAAATAGGTGGGAAGGGAGAAGGGACTGGCATCCCATGTGGACAGGTACCCTGGGGACAGCACAGCAAGTAAGACAGTGGGTTTAATTTAGTGATTCTCAAACTTAAGTGTGTACTCAAACCAAATTAGCCTTAAAAATGTCTCATGCTCTACCCCACAGATGGGGACGGTCTCGTGGGTGGGTCCTGAGAATCTAAACATAAAACGCTGCCGGGATTCTGTTGCAAGTGGTCTACAGACACACCTGTGGAAGCACAAATGTAGATGCTAATAGCGAATTTGAACATCAGGCTCAGACCAGAATGAATTGTTGAGCTCTTCAGAGTTTGTGGTTTGGGTTCTGTGTTTCCGAAGTTGCCATGTTTCATATCCTCCAGTTGTCTGAGACTCCAGAAATGGCGATGAAAGAAAGTAAGATAATAAGAATCTGATCTGGTCCTAAATAATATTCTTCCACTTAGTGAGCTTGGAAGTAATACAACGGGGAGGAAAGCACGGTAGCTTTTCTGGAGTGGTGGTTTGATATCGTCAGCCCAGAGATTTGCCGTTCTGAAAATGGACCTATAGAGGCTGTCAGAAAATTGGCAAGAAGGGCTAATGTTTTCAGAGATGATCCTCAGAATGTGTACTTTAACCCTCTCCCATAGCAGTGCTTTCCAGCAGCTTTCCTGCTCCCAGGTTTTTCTTAGAGCTTACCTAAAAGAGTCCTCTGTCGCTGTTATTTGATAACAATTGTTTATTTTAGAATCACTACCGAAGGAGAGAAAAAAACCATCAGGGAGTAGATTCAGGGAGTCGATTCATCGCAGAGAGATGGAGGTTTTCAAGGCACCTTGACAGGCTCTTGTTTTTATTCTTTAAAAAGCCAAGTTAAGAAAGACAAACGTACCCTTTGAATTTTGCCTCACTGGCTTTTCTAGTTGACTGCACCACGAACTAATCTTTGCGTACTGTATTTTTTTCAAAAAAAATTTTTTTTTTTTTTAATTTTTTTTTTCAACGTTTATTTATTTTTGGGACAGAGAGAGACAGAGCATGAACGGGGGAGGGGCAGAGAGAGAGGGAGACACAGAATCGGAAACAGGCTCCAGGCTCCGAGCCATCAGCCCAGAGCCCGACGCGGGGCTCGAACTCACGGACCGCGAGATCGTGACCTGGCTGAAGTCGGACGCTTAACCGACTGCGCCACCCAGGCGCCCCCTCAAAAAATTTTTAATGTTTATTTCTGAGACAGAGAGAGACAGAACACGAACAGGGGAGGGGCAGAGAGAGAGGGAGACACAGAATCCGAAGCAGGCTCCAGGCTACGAGCTGTCAGCACAGAGCCCGAGGTGGGGCTTGAACTCACAAACTGTGAGATTGTGACCTGAGCCAAAGTCAGTCGCTCAACCGACTGAACCACCCAGGCGCCCCTTTGCATATTGTATTTAACTCCCTTCACCCTCTCTAGTCTATTCATCTGAAACAAAAACCAGGGTAGGGTGCAGATGACTGGACTGGGAACAGTTTGGTTTTGTTCCAGAAGGTGCTCCCATTCCCATCTCTATGGAGAGTTTTATCGTTGGAGGTGAAGATGAGCATCAGGGAAGATCAGTGAGGCGGCGCCTAACTGTATATTTTGGGAATGGCCATTTTCCCAGTTGTTTAGGTAATTGTGTTAGAAAGTAGATTTAAAACCTTACTCCTTAAAAAGACAACTAGCTCTTGTGTCCTCCTTTTACGGGCTATCGTTACAAGGTCAAGTCCACTCAGAGACTGTCTCAACTTTCTTTTGTGAATGTTGGTTTCTGAATAGGAACTTGGAATATCAAGAGAAGGAACACTGAACGTTTTTTTTTTTTTTTAATTTACTTTATTTCACCCATCCCTCCACCCACCTCCCCTCTGGCAACCATCAGTTCTGTTTCTCTGTCTCTCTCTCTCTCTCTTTTTTTTTTTTTTTGCTTATTTTTCGTTTGTTTGTTTCTTAAATTCCACACATGAGTGAAAGGAACACTCAATTTGTAACTTAACAAACCTCTGGAAGGTTTTAATCATCATTTCAGAGTGGAAGTGTGCTTTTAGTTTGGATGTAGTGTTGTATTTGAGCAACTGAAGATCATCCAGTAACTCTAAATTTTTATTATTTCACTTTTAAATCACAGAGGAGATGGGAAGAATGCCAAAATACTGCTTTCTTATTAATTTTGACAGTTTTGTATTTATTGGGGGGTGGCAGGTTAGAGGGTTATGTAACGGACATGATATTTCAGAAGCCAAAACGTAGGTGGGACTGAACTCTTAAAATAGGAATAGCTTGGCCCATACAGAGCAAACAGAATTGCAAGTGAAATTTCTTTGATTCCATTCCTCCCCTGCTGCCCAAATCATTGGCCTTCTTTTCACTTAAGTCTAGGGGATGAGAGTCCTTTTATCTGTTGACTTTCCTCTGTCAGAGGCTTTAGAAGTAACCACATGAAGGCTTTGAGAACTTCTTTGATAAAAGGCAGAATGGAGTGTCACAAAGTAGCAGGGGGAAATTTTTCGTGTTTTGTGATCCAAAGAGTGCTTTGCTGTTGCAACATATCATAGAGGTATGAATTTTAAGAAATTGGAATGACTCAAATGTGTCTGGTTGGAATGCCCTCTTCTGTGCCGCATTCCTCCCGTCCTGTTTCCGCATCACCGCTGTGCTGTGTCAGTTTCCTCGTTGTCGGAGCCGCTGGTCACAACAGCGGTGCTCGCCTCTAGGGTTGTTGGGAGTTAATGCACGTGTTCAGAACGGTGCCTTGTAAGGTGTTGTGTAAGTATTAGCTGTTATTATTCAATAAACATTTAGTACTTACCTCTAGGCTTGTTGGGAGTTAATATATGTTGATAGTTGTGTTTAGAACAGTGCCTGGCACCTTGCTGTGTATGTGTTCCACAGTGATATTATTCAGTTATTATTCAATAGACATTTAAGTACCTGGGGAACAAAGAATCAGATAAAGATATTGGCATTGGCCTTAGGTTAGTGGGAATCAGTCTTTCCCTTCTATACTTCTCTCCTGAGAAAGAAAAAAAGAATTGTAATTATTATCATTATGTTGCACCTATTATTTGTTTATGCTGGATGAGGGATGAAAAGGACTAGGAGTCCTGAAGTCAGTCCTCTAGAAAGGTACAGCCTGTCTTCAACCATATACATATGCAACGCCCAAAGCAGAAAAATGGCACAAAGGTAAGGTATGGCTGGATTATAGGCATTTTATGTGAGTTACAATTCTTAGATTTAAAAAAAAAATTTTTTTTTTAACGTTTATTCATTCTCAAGAGAGAGAGAGCGCAAGTGGGAGAGGAGCAGAGAGAGAGGGAGTCGCAGAATCCGAAGCAGGCTCCAGGCTCTGGGCTGTCAGCACGGAGCCTGATATGGGCCTCGAACCCATGAACCACAAGATCGTGACCTGAGCTGAGGTCGGACGCTTAACTGGCTGAGCCACCCAGGCGCCCCACAGTTCTTAGATTTTTTTATAGCTCTTTGCCTTTGGTTAGCAAACAGCTTAGTTTCTTCAACATTCTTCTCCCTCTTTTTTTCACACCTCGTATCAACTGGCTGCCAGTATTTAAAAGAAGAGGAAAAAGCACTAGCGTATTTATTTGAAATAGACATTTTTCTTGGACTCCTTAGACAGAAGTTGGTATAGGTAATAAAGTTCAAGTGGCAGAGTGACATCTGGGAAAGAGACAGAAAATTGGGCGAGAGGAGATTCCTTATAGCCTAGTTTCATGTGGCTGCCTCCTTCGTGGGGCTGAGCGGTGGGGAGGAGTTGGGTTGTGGGGTGAAACAGTGAGAGACGGGGACAGGGGTGTGCTTTCCAGTAGTTTTCCCTGGTCTGTTTTAGAAGAGCTGCCTCAGCTTTTCAGTACATCCTCAGCAGACATGGTGTTGTAATTGTGGTTCTTACTTACTACTTTTATTAGCCCAAGAGTAATGAAAACTTTCGCTTTCTCTCACAAGTTTCTTCCTATATGGAGGCATCACATAGTGGTCGAAAAGCAGGTACAAACATTTCCATCAGACCTGGTTTCCTATTGTAGTTCAGCCTCCGATTCACTGTGTGACTTGGGCTTTGAGTCTTGGTTTCTTCATATGTAAAATGGTAGTGATACAAAATGCTGTCTATTGTATGAGTCCATCTATGGGAAATGCCCAGAACAGGCCAGTCTGTAAAGATGGGAAGTATAGTGTGATTGCCAGTGGGTGAGGAGAGAGGAGGATTGAGTGAC